GGAAAGTTGTGCAGAGTTTGAGACAGTGGGGGCAGTTTTAGAAAATCTAGTAGATGTTCTTCATGTTTTGGGGAAACCATTTCTTTCCTAGTTTTCTTGAGAGCTGCATGGACAGCTAACTGACCTACATGTCTGTAGTAAAGTGCTTGGTATCAAGACAGAGAATGGTGCTTCTTAAAGTTCCTTTGTTTGGCTTAAAAATTAGGTGGAGATGCCAGTGATGTTTTGTTTCTAAATAAAGGGAGTTCTGTTCCTAGTGGCATAAATGTTCATCATTGTTACAAGGAAAATGTTTACAGAATAACATAGAATCATAGAATGGTTTGGGTTGGAAGGGACCTCAAAGACTATCTAGTTCCACCCCCCCTGCCATGGGCAGAGACACCCTCCACTAGACCAGGTTGCCCAAAGCCTCATCCAACTTGGGCTTGAACACTTCCAGGGAGGGGGCATCCACAGCTTCTCTGGGCAACCTGTTCCAGTGCCTCACCACCCTCACAGTGAAGAATTTCTTTCTAACATCTAATCTAAATCGACCCTCCTTCAGCTTAAACCCATTACCCCTTGTCCTATCACTCCATGCCCTTGTAAACAGTCCCTCTCCATCTTTCCTGTAGGCCCCTTCAGGTACTGGAAGGTTGCTACAAGGCCTTCCCAGAGCCTTCTCTTCTCCAGGCTGAACAATCCGAACTCTCTCAGCCTGTCCTCATAGGAGAGGTGCTCCAGCCCTCTGATCATGCAATTGCCAAACAATACAACCATAAGATGCTTATCTAGATCAACACAAGTCTTTGATTCCTCTTTGACTATAGAGTTTTACACCAGCCACAGATTTGATCCTGTGTTTTAACTTGACCTAGAGGTTTACAAATTCTATCTAGTGCTGCTTTGCTAATATAGATACTGATTTTTGCCTCTTGGTTTCCACCTGTTAAATCACATGAGAGAGAGTGAAATGCAGAGAAAAGACAGTGCTGTCTGCCCTAGTTGTTACCATATGTGTATGTGTGTACATGCACACATGCACATGTGCACACACACTCTTCTCCTGCAAGAAGAGCACCAAGTTTGGATGATGCACAAGATTCTGTGGCTATAGAACGAAGAGTAGATGAGGCTTGGCTTTCCATAGGGTGGATGTTGTAAAGTGGTAACTTATTTGGGCACTGTATTTTTGCATCTGAAATCTCAACATATTAAATTCCTAACTGAGAAAATTCCTGTCAGGAATTAAACAATATAATTTTTTTCCTTATTTGGAGAAGATTGAGACATATATAGTCTCTTTTTTCATAGCAACTTGCCTTTACGTTGGGGTTGTGGTGTAAGATGCATCTTTACACCATCAAAACCAGATGTAATATTCTGGGAAGGAGAAAGAGGAGGTGGAGCCAAGTCTTGAAAGAAAAGATTGGTTGCTTACATGTTTTGCATTCCAGGAAAAATAAATGTGTTCCCTAATTCATCCCAGAATTTCCTGAAGTATGTAAGCTACAATGCATTACATCATATCTTACTTTATTTATCATCTGCGACACCCGTGTATGAAGATTCCAGCAAGTTTTTGCTCACATAGCAATTAAGAGATGTGTTGAATGCGTTTCACAGCTGCAGGCAAACTACTTCTGGAGAGCTGGCAAAAGCTATTCTGTGTTTTCCATTTAGCAATAAAGGAAGAAGTCAGTGTCCCCATAATGCAGTCCTCTGGAGCTGGAAAGAAAATCCCAGCATTAGTCATTAGATTCTGCATTCTATATTGCCAGAAAGTCAAAATATGGAATATTTTTTTGGTAATCTCTCTCTTCGGGAAGGACAGTTGCATGAGTACCACCTCCAGCATTTTGTTCCTGTGCAGTGCTACTTCTTAGTTTTAGTGGATCAATGTGGGGAAGGTTTATTGTCCATCTTCAACACTACAAATGATTTTTTTTGTTGTTGTTTTACTGAAACTGCATCTTTACCTTACTCAACCCTTTTGAGAAACTGTGTTGCTCTAACTTCCAGGCTGAACATCTGTACAAATTGTATTTTATAGCATTGCAATCATATACAACATAGGGGGAGTCTTAAAAATTGTAAAGCTAATAAAACAGGGATAGGGACATGAGGATGGAGCATTTCACTTCTATTTCAAATCCAGCCTTCATGTCCTGTTATAACCTACATCTGCAACAACTGATGGCCCTTTCTCTTCATCATCATATGAAGACCTGTGAGATCAGTTGTTAGTTTTGATCTAATGCTTAATAGACAGATATCCACAGCCTCTGAAACCATCATTGCTACCAATATGATTCTGGCAGCCTCATTTAAGATCCCTAAAATAAGATAAACCTTATTGCAACTAGGGTTTGCATTTGTCTTGTCTCTTCATTTGCTCCTACCATGCTAAACAAAGTATCTCCTTTTGGTACAATGGTTTGATCCTTCCATTTACTCTCCTTTTGAATTCTCTGTCATAAATCGACAATGACATTCACAGGAATAGAGGTAAATAAACTTCAGTATAAGGACTAAAAAGAGGAAAAAAACCTAAGGATGGTGAGAGTCACACACATGGACAGTCTGAATTCTTAATAATGCCACCTCATCCTTCCCAAATTGATGGAAGGGGAAACATTGAAAGAAAAAACAAGCATTTAAAACTCTAATGTACATTTTTGCTATGCTCTCAGCTGGCTCTTTCCAATACAAGAGACATGGGGAACCACAACTGGACTATGTACTCTTGACCGTATGTATATACCCAAAACCTTGTGGTAGTACTGAGTTAATGCCACCAGGTACCAAAAAGGTTCAGTGGTTGATGCTGAGCAAAGAAGGAGGCACTGCCTATACCAAAAGAAACTGAAGTCTAGTTTGAAACAAAGTGCCAAGAAGGTAAAAGGCCAAGACTGCACTGGGAGCCACAGTGATGTGGTTCATGCAGATAAGTATGTAGACAGTAAATTCCATGTTTACTGCAGCTGTCGCAACAAATTGATTCTTTGAATGCCTCTGACTATCTGCTGGTACCCATCTGTAAGCCATTATGTTAGCTGGATTTACGCTCTGCTGCTTCAGTGGAAATCTCACTGTTCCAGCACTGTGTTTCTTCAGTTTTTCTACTTCGCTCTGTGATGACTAAATGGCCAAGTTTTTGACAAGGCCCTGAACTACATTGGCCCTGCTCTGCTTGGAGGATGGACCAGGTGGCCTCTAGAGGTCCCTTTCCACCTAAATTATCATGTGATTCTGGGATCCTCTGTCCTGTACCATCCATGCAGTGATCATCATGGCGATGATGCCATGTCTGTAGGTGGTGGCCTGGAAGCTGATTTAGGGCAGAACAAAGCAATTGTGCTTCTCTGAGACTGGGAAACTGGTCATCTGAACCAGTGGGGTGGCAAAGGAGAACAGCGTGGAGGACAGCTGGGTAAGAAACTGAAGCAAGGAAGGAGAGATAGTAAAGCTATGAAGGACCATGAGGGTGGGCACTCAGCCATCACCCTTGGTCCCTCCTGTGACAAAATCCTGGTGTTTCCACCCTCTGAAAGGGACTTGTGGCAGTATCTTGTTTCCCTGACTTAGCCAGAGAGCAGTTGTGTTACAGTGGTCTTCGCTAGTCAGAGACTTCAGTTTTCTAAAGTACTCCATATAGTAAACTGAAAATGTCAATTTATGCTTTCTTGTGTGACTGTGTGCAGCTTTTTAGTCTCAAAGCTGAAAAAAAATACACAAGAAGATGTAGCTCTAGCTGGTTTTGAGAGGTGTCAGATGAGTAAACTGTACAGGCAAAGATTTGCCTCTGGAGCAGATGAGCCTGTGGGATATACAGACAACCAACAAAATCTGGTGTTGCAAAACAGGATCATATTTATGAGGACTTTATTTCCAAGACCTGGACACTTCATGGGTGTTTTGGTTACCCTCCCATTCCTGGAGTAAGGCTAATACAAATTCAGTAATCCATCAATTAACTAATTAATGTGAAGTGAATGCATTCCCTGGGAAATGTCAGTCTAGGGAGACTCTGAAGCTCTGAGTTGACTCTTTCGTCACAGTATATATGAAACCCTATAGAGGAATACACTCGGAAATAGTTTGGTTTCCACCAAAGCAGCAAGAAGATAAATCCAGTTGAAGCCCTTGAAAGCATAACTATAAACTAGTCAAACCGAAGCTTGAATATTTGTTTTATTTAGAACAGGAATGGCAACAGAGCTCTTAAAGTCCAAGATATTGTTGAATGGTAGCCAGCAGGCTGTAATGTAATGGGCTTTACTCGTGTGTGTGTAACACACACTTCCGCCATGATTTGCATGCTTATTATAGTGTCTTATCAGCTGTTGTAAAGATAGGGAATTCTAACACAGCATTTTGTGCTCTGTAATTATTGCTCATTTGATTCATCATGCATTTCTGTCAGAGGAAATGGCATGAGATGAGTGGAGGTGATCTCAAGTACGCTGAGCAGGCCGTGTCGAGGGTGCCATGTTTTGGAGAGAAGCTGTACCATGCAGGAAGGTGCCGGGCAGCCATGCTTCCCCCAGCCTCTGGCAGCCACCCGTGCTGGCTTTGGCCATAGGAAGGACAGGGCTGGGCAGCATACAAGTCCTCTGCTCAAATAAAGGGGAAGAAAGAGATGAAGGGGCGTTGTAAGACTGAGTGCACAATGAGAGGTGATGGGCTGCGAGGTGCTCAGTTGACCCAGAGGTCTTTGCTTAGGGCACTAATTTACTCAAACTCTGATATGTGCCATCTTTAAAAATACATTATTTTTGCCATAAAAGTAGGCTTTATAAAAGTAGACTCTACTTTATAAAAGTAGAGTCAAATCCAGTCTTTGTAGTCATGGCTGATCTCTGTGTTATCCAAATGGTGGCATTTATTCCATCAATAAGGCATAACAAAAAACATAATGTGAAAAAAAAGAGGTATTAGTGAGTTTCAATGCCTATGTCATGCTTTGCCTTTTCAGGGTTTTCTTGACATCTTATTAAAATGGGGCTTAAAACTCAAAGGATCCTAATGTAAAATATAATTTGTACTGCTGATAAAGCGAGCAGTTGATCCCACATGGCAATATTTTAGTCTGTATTAGATTTCAGGCCTTAAGTTTAAAAACACCTGATGGCTTTACGCTAATTAATCGTTGGGTCCTCAACTTCTGAGGGACTTAGAAGTACCAAATTTTTAAAATGTATTGGATACTTTTTCTATGGAAACATGTTTCAAGATGGCCTTTCAAAACCTCTAGTCAGTATGACTTTCCTTACTCGGTATGATCAGTAGTTCCCAATAAAAGTGCCCAAGGAAGCTTTGTGACTTTAAAGTTTGCACTTCATGTTGTATGTAATGACTTAGAGACATGTACTCCGTGACCTGTCAGCTTTGGAACAGCCATTCATGTCCTTAATTTTTTTTTTTTTTTTTTTTAACAGTCCAGCCCTTTAGACAACATAAAAGTGAGAAACATCAGATTGAATCCTGGCAAGAATTTGTTAAAGCCACCAAATGACAGCAAATTAAGTCCATTTGTCACCTCCATTGAAAAATGTGTATTTGTGTGTCAGTGGTGAAACCAAGATACTTAATTGCAAAGGTTCACCAAAATGAGCACTTTAGCTGCCAACCAGGAGCCAACAGAATAGCAGCCCAAGCACTGAGGCTAATGGTAGCGTCAATCTATTGTGTCATAAATTATATCCTGTTATAAATAATTAAATCTTGGAAACAAATAAAACACATTCTTCACCCAGATTTTTCCTCTATTTTGTGTTGAAAATGTGGCTTGAAAAAATCTGCATAATTAAATGTCATCCTTTCTACTTTGATTGGCATTTTTTTAGGATTTGTTTTCCCCATTCCTTTTTATTAGGCTGCTTTGATTAGAAAGTGGCACGAGGATGAGTTGTTTTTATGATGCGTGTTTGACACTTCCAGATTCCACGAGAAACCCTAATTCCTGATGGCAAGACAATAATCTGGGACAGCATGAAAGGCTTCAGAATACCTAAGGCAACCTACAAATTCATAGGGCTCCTGAGCTGCGAGACAACTGTGGGTGGACACAAGTATAGCACAAAGTACCTAACACACCGAGAAAGTAAGTACCGTTGTCCGCTCCCCGTCTTTCAGAAAGCACTCTGCCCTGGTGACGCTATTCACTTTTCTTTCTCTCCATCACGTGCAGCCAACACAATTTTTGATGTTCAGTTAAGCACCCCGCGTCTTGTCAAGTTGCTGAAAGGAGACAGCCTGGCAATTAACTGCACTGTCACCGCAGCCTGGAACACCAGAGTCCAGATGACGTGGACTTACCCTGGAGAGGTGAGTGCTGTGGTTGAAATGATAGAACCCGGGGGTTTCCCACAGATTGTGCTGCATCCCAGGAGGAATTTTGCCTTGAAATGCTTGCCGTGGTTCACATTCCATCATTTTGACCCTTGCTGACATGTCTTTAAAGGTTTCTTTTTTTCTTTCTGGTGCTTAATTGAATAAGTAAACATGTTTACACAATGTACTCTGGTTATATTGCATAATTGCGAGCGAATGCTAGAATTGTTTCATCCCTGGGAGCTTCTTTTTGACCTGGAGAAATGGTAGAAATTTATCACCGAGTCCCAGGCAGGGGCTCTCTCTGGTGACAAGAAGAGTTTTCAGTGAGGTTGTCTTTCTCAACACATTCATTTCAAACACTGGCAGACAGTCAGGCACCCGACTCGAGCATGTTTAGAAAAGATATTTTGATTTAACTAGCCCAAATCTCATTTGTTAAGTGTCACATGAACAGTCCTCTTGTTTTGACAACTACAGGAATGATCTTGAATGTGCTTCTCCTCCCCCCACATTGGGAGCATCCTCATAAATATTTGTCGCTTACAGAATAACTGCCAGGGAGTCCGTGTAAAGCTGATAAGAAATTTGACATTAGTTTAAGGTTTACAACTCCCATTCCTTTCATGTCAGTTTGATTTATGCTGGTGATTCAAGTCAAGATCATTCATTATGTCACTCATTGTGCCTAATCACAAGCTGAAATTATGATTACATTATATAGGGGAGATCAGTGCAATCATTTCTTGCATACTGTAGCCATTTTCCCTGGCATTTTTGTCACCTCAGAAATAAACAACTTAGCAACAAGAAATGGTCCAAATATATTATGTTGCTCATTGCTGTCTTACCAAGCCCTAGCCGGGCACCGCACTTGTGAAATTCTGCTTTGTTTTTATTTGGATGGTAACTGAAGGGTGCTCAGTGTTTATAAGACACCAACGATGTCCTGGGTTAAATAAACTTTGAGGCCAAAGGCTAAGGGGGAGTTGCAGGAAATAACTCCTCAGACTCACATTATCTTCAGTTCCACCCTGTTATTCCCTTGCCAAATCTAGTCCCTTTTCCATCTATAGCATTTCCAGAATTCTCCCCTTCTTGTGTTAATGCCCTCTTCTACATCTGCTGCCTATGGACACTGAATCCAGACACCGAATTATATACCAGTGACTCTAGGGATTTTTATGAGCAATCTTGGAGAAGACACAATGGGGAGTTTGGCATGTTGGTATGGCAGGTCATACAGAAGGAATGATCTTCATCTGGAAAGAACTGATGTGGATGCTATTACAACTTTGGTGAAGATAGGAATGAATTGCCATATAATGTTACTTTGAATTTTTATTGTTCACTCTCTGGAAACATTAGACATGTTTTGCATGTCTGTGCTGTACAGAGGGATCTGGGTTTTTTTATTAAGGTATGGTGGCAGTACAGTAAAATAAAAATCTTAATAATAATGAAAATTGGTTTGATTAACTCTTTCTTGCTCATTTTTGCTTTTATAGGCAAGGAGGAGAGGTTCTGTAACACAACGCATAGACCAGAAGAACACAGAAGCCAATATTTTTTACAGTATCCTCGTTGTTGATAAAGTGCGTGATATTGATAAAGGCCAGTACACCTGCCACGTGAAGAGCGGGCCATCAATTAAAGCTGTTAACACAACAGTCATTGTTTATGGTAAGAAATATTGCAGATTTGTAGAATACTGAATGCTCACGTACCAAGTTCAGTCATATGATAGCTTGACACAAAGTGAAAGTGAATTTATTTATTTATTTGTGCATTTGTTTATGTATCACTTTAGCATGTTCATCACTGGTGGAAAAAGGAGGGAGACCAGAGACAATATGTGCCTTTTCTTCCATGACTGTTTTGTATTGTTGGCAGAAGACATGTCAATGTTCAGTTTGATCACTCTTGTCTGCTAAGTACTATGATGACCCTGTCTTCAGTCAGTTCTGGCAGAAGCAATCAGTTAAACTGTAGTTTGGGGGGGTGGGGGCAGAAGGGGAAAAAAGGTACAAGCTGAATTTAAACAGAAGAATTCCACTTCCTCTTCTGTAGTACTTGTTTATTGTTTCCTATGAAAAATTAAGAAGAAATAAATACACTCACTCTCCATGGAGCAGGTAGCTGCTAGACCATTCAAAAACTGAAAGAAGCACAAAATAATGCAACTCATTAATGTGGTTTTACAGTCAGAGCTTTAAACCAGTTCCCTATGGTCTGCCGGGGCTTCATGTGGGATGTGGAAATCCATTGTGTTGTTTCAAGCTTATGTGAATTAGGACTTTGGTGGAATGGGACTCCACAAGCAGCTACCTTCTTTGTGGCATCCTGTTACAATCAGGACTACCCAGGATCTTGGCAACATCATTGGTATTAATGACCGAGTGGTTGGCAGGTGTCCTCTACAACAGATGAGTCATGGTCAGAATATTGATTTGTTCTATCTTTTCAGTGGTCTATCTTTTCTCTCGCATCTGGAAGTATGGGCTAAGCACTAGATGATGGTATTCTTAGACAATATTTCAGTCCATGCTCTCTGTTTAAACCTTGGACTAGGAACATAAGATGAATCATGATAGCAACTTCTTATATTCTTGAACAGTCTGAAACTATCAGAAACTGAGTTTTAGATTAAAATTAAACTCAGAGAAGCTAGAACTGTTGACGCTAGCCTGTAAACTCTTATTTACATAAGCAGCTCCATCTATGGGATACCCATATTAGAAAGAGCCTGTGTGAATAAGGGTTTGCAGAATCAGGGTTGTATCTCTAATTATAACTTCGCTTGTGTAATTAAACTACTGATTTGTCTTGTGCATGTTATTTTCAATGTACATGGCAAGTGAGATTAAATATTGCACTTGTTTAATAGATATCCAACATCTTGATGCAGTCCATAATGTAAATATTGCACCATAGGTACTATTAAAAGGATACTCAAACAATTTTTCATGTTTTGAAAGTTTTATTTTACTTAAGTGCATTTTAGGGGGAAAAAAAGTTTTTTCAATATATTGTATGAATATTCTGTTTTATTGCCTTTGGTTAAACCCATCAGCTTGCCAGAGAGTTTGAAATATGGGGCAGTACAACTGGGAAAGAATGAATTCCAGCAGGTTGAGATTGTTCCAATGAAGTGATAGAGATTTGTTTGTTTGATGAAACAGCTGTTTACCAACGATACAGAAAATTTCTGCCTTCTCCTTTCCTGTTTCTCTGAAAGTCCTTTAAATGCTCCCTGGCAGAATATTTTCTTTTGGAACATTTATTTGATTCTTGGCCTTTAGGGGTGGAATGGTCATCTGCTCATCTAGTTCAGCTTCCCATGTACCACAAACCACCTTATCTCTCTTGTGTTGAAAGCAGTGCCTTTTTTTTTTTTTTGACTGAAGCACAATATGAAATTTGGCTAGAGCGTATCTTCTCCAGGCAGATTCATGGCCTGGGAACTGTTTCTCAGTTTCCTGAATATTTGTGGTATTCTTCTCTGTATTTTTGAGATCTTTAGGAGGTTAGGTTTTATTCTTGCTGTTGTCATGTGGGAACACCAAAATTGTTAAAGATCATTTTAATCTGGATTTCTGTTCTCTTTAGTAGGTCAATTGATTTTGCAGGCTGAAAAATCCATAATATAGGTGCACTCTTTTTCTTTTCTTTAAGATAAAATGTTCATTAATTTGAAACGTCGAAGAAAAACTGCGCTGGAAGCTGTAGCTGGAAGAAAATCCTATCGTTTGTCAATGAAAGTGAAGGCATTTCCCTCTCCAGAGGTTATATGGTAGGACAACAGTTACTTCCACATATGAACATTGGACCTCTTCTTAGATAAAAAATAGTATCTTGGTAAAATATTCAGATAAAACCCCTTGAAATGGCAACAAACTGGAGACAATACTGTTGTGGAGTTTTATTGGAAGTTTCAGGGTTGTCCTGGGTTTTAACAACTTATGAGAACATTGTCTTCATTTTTCAAGTGCAAAAAAGGCAGTCTGGAAAGTTCAAAGCTCAGATCCTCAAATATGTTAGACATGTCTCCCCTTGAAATCAATGGACACTCTGCAGCTAAATAGCTCTACCAACCTTGACTGAAGTTTTGCATCCAGCTTCACTCAGACCTAGATATGAGACCTGAACTTGCTTTTCAGACAGTAGGAGAAAGAAAAGGCGGCTTCCATTAAAATGATTGACTGAGCTATACAGGCATGCACTATTAGAAAAGCAATGGACGTTGGTTTTATTATATGGTGATCTGCAGGTTGTAGATCTACTTTAGTTACTAGAGCTTTCACTGTGGCTCATGTATACTGTGCTAAGAAATCTTTTGAACAGTTTTTCATATTAACCCAAACCACTTTTACATAAAACAATGTTATCTATTAATGATCTCAAGTTGGGTGTTTTGGTGTGGGGTTTTTTTTTGTTTGTTTGTTTAAATCATTTTAAATACCAGTAGCTCTGGCTCAATTCATTGCACTTTAACAAAGGGTCTATGACAAGACTGATTAAGAAAACAAACCATACATACATGAACAGTGAGAGTTCATGTTACTCACAGCCAGAAATTACTTTTGCTCCAAACATTTTGTTTTGTTTTACAAAACCCTTACATTTATAGCTGCAAATGGAAAATTAAGGGGCAAAAGTGAAGCTGATGCTAGCCATTTATACAGTATTTTCTGTTTCTTTATTGGTTGGGCTTGTTGGCTATACATATAGATAAAATACTTCTAAAATACAAAAAAAAAAATAAATCCATTTACACAGGAATTTTTATTTGGTTTGGTTTTTTTGTTTGGTTGGTTTTTATTTATCATTCTGAGGTTGGTCAAACACTGGATCAAGTAGCACAGAGAGACTATGGAGTCTCCATCCTTGGAGATATTCAAAACCAGGCTGAAAATGGTCTTGGGCAACCTGCTGACCTTGCTTTGACCAGGGGGTTGGACTAGGTGATCTCCAGAGGCTGTTTCAGCCTCAACTATTTTGTGGTTCTGTAAAATACGGATACAGTGAAATGCTTAAATCCATAGTCCTTAGATCCAATTTTTAGTGCTCCTCTAATAACTGTAAGAGTTTTCTGTAAATACTTACTAAAATCTGTGAATCATTTTAATCAAGTCCATCATCAAAGTGAAACTCTGTTGCACTCTTCTACTAACATCATGTCAGCCTTCATACAACCTACCAATATGTGCTTTATGCTGTATTTTAGACTTTGAAGAAAAATGTTGTGGTGCTTTGGGAATCTGTGTGTAAGCAACAGTTAGTACTTTCTATGTTGATTTTCTGTTATCTTTAAAAAACACTCACTTGATAGCAGGATATCTGATTCTTAAGTGCTTATCTAATCTACTTACTCTTCCTCTTCCTAAAATCACAGCTGTGCTTAGGCTACTGTAATACTTTGTCCCAGGATGTATTCTGAGGTCATAAAGAAATGGTCAGTGCTGGATGACACAACCTCTATTTGTGTGAATGACTCAGCCAAAATGGTTGTCTTCTAGACTAAATGGCAGCACAAGCATGGAAAACTGGAATCTTCAGAGGCAGAGTGGCAATTTTCAGCAACTCTCAAATACTATCGAGCCCTGTCAGATCTTCATCAATTTTAATGTATAGAATGGTATTCTCCAAAGTGCTTTATAAATATCAGCAATCTTATTTGTAAGGGAAGGATAAGCCTCTGGTAAACAGAATCTAAGACTGTAAACTCAATCCTTGCCCAAAGATAGAGAAATGTTGTGAAATGAAATAACACAGGCACTTTAAGCAACATTCCTTTTCAAAATTTTGATTTCTGGAATTCTTTTAAACAGGTTAAAAGATGGGCTACCTGCTGCTGAAAAGTGTGCCCGGTACATGGTTAAAGACTATTCGTTAATCATCAAGGACGTTGCTGAGGAAGATGCTGGAAACTACACTATAATATTGAGCATACGGCAGTGGAACTTGTCTAAGAATCTTACAGTCACTCTTACAGTAAATGGTAAGTTTACAACATGTTCCCATGCTTCTCCTGAAAGTGTAAATGCTAAATTTTCACTGAGCTAGATTTTCATTGATCTTGCACAGTTCAGGTCATTGTGGGTTTTCTTACTGACTTTCATGGACCCAAATCCAAGCCCCATAGGCAGGGTGACAGACCCATCTTGGAATAAAAAGACGAACAGTGGTTTTCTTTGAAAGTTTTCTGTCTTCCGCAGTCACATACTTGTTCCTGATGACTTAAATGTGTTACTAACTGCTCATCTGACTTGACTTAAGCCTGCTGTTTTCCTTTGTTCTCCTGGGGATTTTTCTTATTACTTATCCTGCAGGAATGTAGTATTTTCATGATCATGAAATACATTGAAAATGAGATGGTTTTAATTACTTTCCAATTTTCACCCTTTACAGTGAAACCCCAGATATACGAAAATGCCGTGTCATCATTCCCTGATCCCAATCTGTATTTATTGAGCAGCAAACAAGTGCTGACGTGCACCGCGTATGGTATTCCTCAGCCTAAAATTACGTGGATGTGGTACCCCTGTAGACAAAACCATTCTAAAACAAGGTAGGACAGCTTCCTTACTTCTATTTAGCATGTCTTCCCTTACTATTACATTTAAATATTTACTTGTTTACAAGAATAAAGCTTTCCATGACCATTGCCTAGTAAGTAGAGTTTGTATACTATTAATCAATGTATTTTTTAGTAAACATGTAGGCATGCACAATATAAATTTTTTCTGCATCAGTATTTGAATATGGAGGGCAGAGTTGTTATTTTGTATTGCTACTTAGGTTTATTTACAGTTCACTGTTATTCACGCACAGAATGTCCAGAGGCAATAGTTGCTTCTTAATTTTTATGAGGGAAGCCTTGCAGACAACATCTTGCAAAGTTCACACGCTTTCTCATAGAGGAGATTTCCATGTTTTCCTCTGTGCTTTCTTCCATGCACAGGGATTCCCCTGTGTGGCTTCTTTTGAAATTCAACAGAAATAATCTTAAACAGTTTTTCCATTATGAAGGTCAATTCTCTGTCATGATACATTGACTCATAGAATCAGTTCAGCAAGCCAAATGTGCCCAGCATTCTCCAGACGATATTTCGACAGGGTGAAATACAAAAGTCACCATACAAGCTTACTTGATGCTGATGTGGTGCTTAACTAATCCTCTTTTATATTGAAGCTTTCTCTCTGTTTCTTACAATTACAAGTTTATGTGTTGACTCATTTATCCAAAGCTCTTCCCGAATCACGAAATCTGACACATCTTAATGTTTAACACTCAACCTCCACAAGGGCATTAGCATTAAGCTACCATCGGAGCATTCAAACACGCAAGGTATTTGGATCACAGCACAACAAAGACATGTAAAAACCCAACAAAAGTTTAGGAACCAACATTTTCTCAGTTTCAGTTGAAGTTAATCATTTTACATAGGATTTAACTTCTTTAATGATTTCATAGAATTGAGGTTTACTGCCAATCCAGCCAAACGTTTAAGCACATGCTTAACTGCAGGGATACAAGATGCCTCATTCAATTAAATGACAACATCTTATTTCAAATTAAGGGTGCTTGCGGGTGATCACTGATCACAAGGGTGCCTTGTGATCAGTGAGAGACAGTGGTCAGCACTTCCTAGAAGCACACATAGTTTTTCCAGTTATGCCTTGCTTTGGGATTATGCAAATGGATGGCTTTCTGTGCCCTTCTCGCCAAGAGGTGGCACTAGCAATCTCTCCTTTTGCCAGAATAGGTATAACCTGAAATTGTCCTTTTCGAGGACAGGTGAGGACTGCATTTGCTCTATCTGTTATGTTACCTTTGAAGGGCAAGTCGCAAAATTCTGAATATTAATTTATTTTTGCTTATAGGTGCAAGGTGTAAGAGAAAATAAATCACATCATCTTTTAAGTAGAGAAACCCTGTGAAAGGCATGTGTGAAAATTTTCGATCTTTTAGTTTCTTTCAAGTGTTTATACATCTATGCATGCTCTGGATTGAAATCAGAGTGTGGCACTGATAAAACTGTTGGTTCTTCTTTGGGAGTTGAGGTGGGGCTCGTCCATTGTAAATATTTCCTTCTGTTAACAAGCACAGATCCGCACTACAGCACAGGAGAGCATGTCATCAGAAATAGAAATTAATATCCGCAAGCAGGTGTTTAATAATGTGCTAAACTGTAGACTCAATTGAATGCTAATTAGAAGTGTGTTTGAGCAGGTGATCAAAGGAGAAATGTAACAATTTGGCTCTGTTACAAGGTTGTTTCCAGACTTGCTTCCAAGTTGCCTTCATAATTGTTCTGTGACTATTCTCTTTAACCCCCTCCCCTTCCTTCTCCTTTAAATGCTCATTGAAGAAGTAGCCTGGAGAGCACCATTTTTAATGCTTTGCCTAAGAGGAGTGGAATGACTCCCTCTGAATAATATGGTGACAATTAACTATCACAGAAAGGCACAAATACCTGGATAATTACTTTTGTCTCCTGCTCCAGGAAGGGAGCAGAGTGGACTACATGGCCAGCTGGCATGACTTGCTCAGGCTGATGTTTGTACGCCTTCAGGTGTTCTCCCTGAAGAACTGGAGAACCCTTTAATCCCACCTATTTCACTATACTTTCCTCTCTGTGTGCAGGGAGGTTTGCCTGAACAACAGATTTAAGGTGTGTGTACCTTGTGCAGCAAATAAAAAATGTATCTTATTCTGGCATTACAGCATTTCTTTGGATTTACCTGCCCAATGTTAGGTTTCTAATGCTAAAATACTACTCTGAGCTCCAGTGGTGCCTGTTTCTGTGCACAGATGTACCTTGTACCTTAACAGTAAACTGTAAGGGTTTATCAGCTTGTTCAGCGTATGGCAATAGGGATTCTCATCGAGTTTCTGAGTCCTGTCCCATGCCATGGGACAGGGCACACACTCCGAATAAAAAGATACTGTTGCTGCAAGGACCTTGCAGAGCACAGATCTGTTTGCTTCAAGATTTATATATATGCTTAACTTTACATCACTTGAGTACTATCACTGCAAGCTGGCGAATGACACACAGTGCATAAATTAGATGGCTTTATTTTTGAAGAACTGTTGCCTATGGGCTCCTTAATAGAAACCATTAGGTTATGTGGCTGCTTCTTTCAATGTCTGTTCCAGACAGTATTTATGTTTCAAAAATATACAAATACCTCAGTGGATTCCATTGCTTTTAAATAAAATGCAGATATATTCTAATGCTTTGTGATTAATACAATCAATTTGCATAACTCTCCTCTCTACATCATTCAGGCCAGTAACAGGAGGCTAGCCAAATTAAATGGTTTCCATGGTTTCCTGGTAGCAAATTGAAAAACAAGCAAACAAACAAACAAAACACCCAAACACACACACACAAACAAACCAAAACCCAATCCAACTGTAAAATTGCTCAACAAATTTGACTTTTTGGAATATGGAAAGATCAATGTAATTAAAATTCCTTTTTCTTTACTTTCTGTTAAAATTACTTTGCTTAAACTAACTCTATTGTCATTAAGTTGCTAGCTAGCTAGCTAACTAGATGGATAGGTGGAAAGATTCTCTTCCAATGTTCACCTCAGCAAGGAAACATAGAAGAGTCAAGAAAAAATGTCGGGAGAAAAAAAATATTTGGGGTTTTTTTAAAGTTTATGCAGAGCTAGTAAATTCAGAGATGTCAGGCAAAAGACAGTAGAAGATGCAATGAGAGTTAAAATAAAATGCAATTAAAAAAAAAATATTAGTCTCTCTTAAATGACCAAGAAACTTCTTTTCCAGTGCTATCTTTCTCCAGCTTACTCTGTTGCTCTACGGCAGAGACACACATTCCCAGGCTGGGCAGCCCCCAGTTGCTCAATGGATACAGCAGAAGACAGCCTGTGGGACACTTGTCCTGCAGTGTTCATCAGCCTCCTTGGCCTGTTTCCTACCACCCTGGCATTGTTCTTTCTGGCCTTGTTTTTGCTCATGTTGGGTTGTCGGTAGAGGGGCAGCCAGTGGCAGGGCTTGCCGGGGTCTTCGGAGCCAGCCAGGCTGGGTTCCACCTAAAAATCATCAGCTTTAAGGCTGTAGAATGAGCATCTGCACGCCGGGAACATGCTTGATGTTAATGGTTCTTGACCTGAATCTCTTCAGCAGATTTGTGTTTATCTTAAACTGGTCTGGCAGAAATTGCCAAGAAAGGCACGTGGGATGTTGATACTGCTCTGCGGAAGCACTGGTTTCCTCCGCGGTTGTGCAGTGTCGTTTGGGGGCAGTTTCTCTTTCTGGACATTTCCATGTGGGCAGTTCAAAACAGATCTTCATTGTGCTCTGCCCAAAGTTTGACCAACTGGCCCTTCAGAAACTGCAAATGGATGCAACACTGAAATTTTACTTTGGGTGTTCCAGCTCTCCCACCACCTCGCTGCCTCCCTCTCTCCTTGAGCTACCAGTTTTGTTTAGTCTCAAACCTAATAGCAGATTATTATTTTACAACCCTGCTGTTACGTCAGCCTGCGTTTTCTTTTGGCTTTTGGTTTTTTTCTCTGTGTCTGTGTGCATGAGGGATAGAGAAACATGACAGTATTGTGGAGATGCCTGCAAAAACAAAGTCATTGGAAAAACTGGTGCCTGATTCTCTGCCCCTTTGGCTATAGTGTCAGGATACAAACACTTCTTGGTGGTAAAACCACCTGATGATTGCGAATGAAGGGGCTGAATACCTGAAGTTGAGGACAGAAATGGGCAGCAGGGACCAGGCGGGGGTGTGTGTGCAGCAATGCCTAAGCTGATGCTGCTGCCAAAGAGTCAATCTGGAAACCACGATGTTTGTAGCGCTCTGATGTGGGTCCATGCTCCTCAGTGGAATCACTACTGGTTTAAGAGAGTGATGAGAAGGGAATATTACCTCCCTTTGAAGCTTGTCTGCAGTGTGAAGGTAGGGTCACATGAATGATTTTCTACAGAAATAGCTCTCCAGCACTGCACAGGGAGGAAGAGGAATGTGTCATGGATCTCAGCAAGGCAAAAATCAGAGGTTTTCCTTGAAACCTCTGCAAAGAAATAGAACGCCTGAAACTACAATAATGAAAGTACACGGCCAGGCTCTCACCAGCTTCAGTGAAAGAGGAGGCAGGCCATGTGTGCATAGCAGTCTAATTGCATTTCTGCATTGTTTATGTCAGCGTATTAATAAGGGATTGAAAGGCAGAATCATTAGGATGTGCTCAGATAGATTATCAGGGGAAACCAAATTTGGAACATCAGTGAGGTATGTAAAATGAACAAGTAAAGAACAAATGTTAATTGTACTTAATTAGAAATGTACTGAACCACCCAAATTTAATTGTTGGATGTCTGCAAACATTGATGCCCATTAGTTTGTCCACAGCGACTGGTTTTGTTCCCCATGCCACCTTCTATTTTCAGGAAGGGGAAGTCTGAGTCCTTAGAGCTGGTAAAAGTAGGTCAGATGCCATTAATAAACAGGTAGTTCAAAAATGCCTTTGTTTAATTTGACATGTGGCCAGATCCTCGGCTCTAGATTCACACTGACTGAGGAT